TAGCTTCTAGAATCTTCTTAATATTGTTTTGTATAAATACAGTACATCGATCATTGAATGAAGTCAAGTTTTCATTCCCAAATTGGAGAGCTTTTCTTCTTTTATGTTCTATGTCAAAGCTTAGCTCAACATTCATCAATGGAGAATTGACATTCTCCATAAGTTCTACTTAAATTCAATAAGTACAATACAATACAATACAATACAATACGATACATTATGAAACAATACGTAACAACCGTCCAGACAAAGCGTAAAGGGGGTTTTGCAGGCTCAATGATGAGCGGATAGCTCTAAAGTGGATTCATCGTTAGAAACATACAAACTAAAAGAAATTGAATTACAACCTGATTCTTCAAAACCAAAAGTCTTGGTTACGTTATTGCTAAATATGATAAAAATAAGATTATGAAATTTGCTAAATATTATTCAAATAAGATTATGAAATTTGCTAAATATTATTCAAATAAGATTATAAAATTTGCTAAATAAGATAACCAAGCTGCCTACTAATTCGTACTTACACAAAATAAACTTGTTGCCTATAAACACATGCTCTATATGCAATATGAATATGGGTATGAAAGAAACCATAGTTTATATATCTTTTTCCACTATACTAATGCTACCTATATTATTGGAAATTTATTAATCTCCAACTCTATTAATTTAAGGGAAAATTACACAGTTAGGCAAATATATACTAGTTAATTAGCTAACATAGTTAATTAGTTATAGTTTGCATTAATTACAATTTGGAACTTACTTCTGGCTATAATTACACTCCTGTGTCTCGCCTCTCTCCTCTCCTCCTCTTGCTCTCTCTCCTCTCTGGAATCTCGCTCGCCTCTCTCCTCTCCCTGTCCAATCTCTCTCTCAATTCTCTGTTGCGAATCTCTCTCTCACTTTATACAAACACAAATGTATAATTTGTGTTTGTGTTTGTATAAAGCGAGAGACTGCATATACAAATACATATCTCTTCTTCCTATACACTTATAATTATACAAATACAAAATTTCCCCTGCCCAGTTCTCTTTTGCCTTTCTCTCTCGCTTTATACAAACACAAATTATACATTGTATTTGTATAATTTGTGTTTGCATAAAGCGAGAGAGATTGGATATACAAATACAAATGTTTTAACTCGATTCAATTGCATGCAGATATACAAATACAATCATTGATACATATACATAGTAGTTACATATATACAATTATATAACCGATATACATATACAATTCACCTCTTTCCATTCTTTGCCCTCTCTCGATCGCCTCTCTCCACTCTTTTCCCTCTCTCGCTTGCCTCTGTCCTCCATCTCCCAATCTCGCTCGCCACTCTCCTCCCTATAACATGTAGCTACAAATTGTAATTAGCAAACTATAATTATGAAGCATAATATTAAGCTATTTTTGAATGATTTTATGCAAAAATTCCCCTTAATTTAATAACTCAGGCTACATCCGATTCTTTTGATTTTCTTCAGACTTCTCAACATTGGTGTTCGTAATTGCCCTCACAATCACCCACAAAAATCTTTTAATACCCCTACACATTGTGGCATTATGGAAAGTTCTAAACAAATATATTTTTAACAAAAAAATTACTAACACTAACACTATTCTTCTAATGGTTATGAAGCATCATTATCTTCCTTTTGTAATCTTAATTTTTGTGAAAGCTTATCAAAAGCTGGTAGTAGTAATAGTAGAATCTATAGTACTAACCATAGGCTAGATAGTACTGAAGATATCTTGTATAACATTGACAAATCATTTGACCTCCATGTACCAATTACCTAAATTAATATAATTCTCTCTTTTCTATATATATAAAAAAAATCTACAAAGACCCAAGTGGCTTTATAAAAGTGATTAAAAAAAGTCATACCATGATGCCAAATTGCCAATTATAAAATGCCAAGTGACTTTATAGTTGAAATTCTCATAATACCCTCTCTCATCCCTTGCTTATGTTGAATCGAGATCTTATTGGTCTTCTTTGATCCACAAGTGCAAATAAACTATCTCTGACTTGATGACTACTTTACTTTTCGCCTTTTCCTGGGGCATAGAAGGAGTTGATCATGGTCCTATGAAGAGTAAATAATTTATATATAGTAGTAAATAAATTAATTTAGAGCAGGTTTAGTCATGTGAGATAAAATCATGATTTGAAATTATGATATGAAATAATATGAGATGAAGTTAAAGTTTTGTTTGACATGAAATTTGAATTTTTAATTTGTATTTTTTGCTCATAAACATAAAAATTCATAAGTTGTAAAAACTAGCAAAATTGCTTCAATTCTTTATACAATCATACCAAATAAGCAAAAGTTCATAATAGAAGTATAACACACTATCACAATTTTTATTTTTATTTTTAAATGCAACACTTATTGACCGAACATTAGCTCAATAAAAAAGTAAAAAGTTGTATTGTACGACTCTTTAATTTATTCCTCTCACATGTACTGTATGGACAATCTCCTAACATTGAACATGCATTTATAATGTTGGTAAAAGTAACAATGAGAGTAATGGCTATATTCGACATAAATGGTTTAAAGGTTGGTAAGAGTAATAATATCAACTATAAATTTGATTTACATATATATGAAATAAATGGTTGGCATATATAAAATTGATGTTTTTTTTTTTACAAAATGTAAACTTGTAGGTAAAATTTTATATTTGAAAAATGTGAAATCATGATATGAAATTTCCAAATCAAGTTTTTTGGAGAATTTGAGATTTCATCTAATGATTTCAAATCATGAGATGAAATAGCATGTCCAAACGCTAATTTCCATCTTATGATTTCAAATCACGAGATGAAATCGTATGTCCAAATGTCTACTTAGTTATTCCATATTCTATCTTGTATAAGATAATACACAAATTTTCTCATAACTTATATATATATTATTAGTATATGTGTTTCTAATTACCAATCAAACGTCGTAATATATTAATTTTATATATGTAACTTGCTTCTTAACTAGCCACCAAAGATTGTATAAGTTATGCATAAATTAATACAAAAATGAGTTGTGTCTTTACTAGCTACCAAACGATCCCTTAAAATTAGTAAGAATTGAGCAAAGTGGATTATGATATGAATTTTAGCTCATTTCAGCTCAAGTAATTTCTGAATCGATAACTCGTCCATCTATTAACTTAACTCATTTTAACATGTCCAAATTCAACCCAACCAAGCCATTGACACCCCTAGGATCTCAGATATTCAATGTACTAGAACTTTCTCATGACAATGTTAAAACAAATTCTGAAGTATTAGATCACTGCCAAATTAAATTAAGCATGATTGCTTATAGTTCACTAGTCTATGTGAATAGTTTTACCCCCAACAAAAATCCATAAGGTAGGGAAATTAATTGAATAACATGGTGAATGTATATAACAACAGAAAAGATTACATTTTGAATCTGCATCGTAATTATTATCATTTATTAGTTAATCATTATTGTACTGACTGCTAGCTCTCTTTTTTCCCCTTTTGATAGGTGGACACATTTTCTCTTGTATGGTGCTTTATGGTATTTTTTTTAATTAGTACAGCAGGAATATTATTTTTGTAACAAAGAGGGAAAATAGTACAATATATTAGGCTCATTTTGCCACATTATTTGATTGCTTATAGAGTTTAATATATTAATTTAACTTATACCCCTATTCTATAAGCACTAATAGAAGAAAATTAATGTAATCGTATTCATGACTTGTCGTGTTTTTTTAAAAGAATAGTACTAGGTAAGGTGTGTCTAGGACTAGTTTTTATTAATAAAGAAAAAAAAGGATCTCAAAGAGAAAAGTACAAGCAAGGGTCTATGCCTTATTTTACTAATTCTAATGAGGTAGCAAATATCTACTAATTAACAAGCATGAAGAAAATAAAAACTAGAGAAAAAACTAAATATTCTATGATCTTTATAGAGTTTTTTTTTTGAGAAGGTATCTTCATAGATTTTATAATATACTCTATGATAATACTACAAATAAGAATGCTTAAGTAATGCAAAAATATAAAATCTAAGAATAAAGTTGAGTTATCAACCAAACTTCATTTTATATATACCTTGTCTTACTAAAATATTATATCAAACTTAAATTTTTTTTTGTCAGATAGTTATTTTTTTAAAACAATAATAACGGTCATGTAATGATTCAAAATTTGTGGAATGTGTCAATACTTTCGTCTGTTTTAATTTATATGTCTTTTTTTTTAATAGTGAATCTTCAAAAAATATATTTTAATTTTGCTAAAATACTTTATAAATATCTATAATTCATTTCATACCACATATTTTATGTAAATTATTTTATTATTTTGAAACTCTGTATCAAATCAAACTAGATTGATCACGCGATTTTATAAAGATAAAAGTTTAGCAGTGTGACCCAAAAAAAAACGAAACAAACATGTATATAAAGTGAGTAGTAATTAAAAAAAAAGATAGTGTGCCCTTTTTTTCTTGTTCTTTTTACTGTGGCAATTGTAGTGGCTGTTTTGCTCAAGATTCAAAACATTGAACACTTTGAGCTCATTCAATATGTTTGATTAGTTGCCCCAAAAAGTAAGGTTATTGAAGTTTCTATTTTCAGCTCTGTCTTGGCTAAATTGTCTCAAAAAGAGGATTTTTTTTCTTTTGCATAACCTCGGGTAACTGTGTGATTGCTTCTTCTTGTTGTTTGTCTTTCTATTGAGTTGAATACCAAAAGATCGATGACCCTTTTCTTATTGCAAGAAAATGGGGTAACCCTTTTCATTTGAGTCCAAGATTTGCTCATCTGAAGTTCAAATCTGGCGTTTTCTTCAGGTCAGAATTGACTTTTTTTAAAAATGGGTATTGGCTTTTTGTTGACTTCATTCAAGATTTGGTTGGTGGTGGTGTTGTGCTCTTCTGTAAGAAAGCTTTGATTTTTTTTAATTTTTTCTTATATATGTATGGTGTTTCATTGTTTGATTATAGATCAATACTTAGAGAAGCTTTGAATGTTGAAGAATGGGCAATGTATTGTGATTGACTCTTGTGCTGCCAAAAGAGTCGGGTGGTTAGTTGAGCTTGTGCTGAATTTGCTATTTTTGAGGATATTTTCACTGTACTTGATGTACTAAGATGGAGTTACTAACTGTTCTGGTTCTTATAAGCTTTCCCCCATTTTTAGCTGTCTATAGTTTCAGAAATTTTCACCATATTGATTTAGTTGGATAAGGCCTGTAAGGTAGAATTACTTTAGTGTGCCAAATTTAGTGAACTTTGTATTGGTTACTTTTAGCTAGAGTCTCTTTGAAACAATTTAGTGTTGCCTGGTTACTATTATGGCTTCGATTAGAAGAACGTTGTCCCCAGTGCCTCGTCCTGGAAGCACTATGAATGGAGAAGTATGTCCTGCAGCCTCTCCACTGTCCAAGTCTTCATCATGTACCAATAGTAATACACCAACTGGTGCATTGCTTCCTTCTTTTGGTTCATTCGATTATGCCATCTACAAGGTTCAGACATTTGTAGTTGGTCTTTTGTCACGACGATCTTCTAGGCCCTTAGAAAGGTCAAAGTTGAAGGGGCTCATTTGGAGGAGAGCTATTCTGCAATTGTTTTTCTGCTTCATTCTTGGAGTATTTATTGGCCTTACTCCATTACTAAATTTGTCAACAAATTTTATCTCTAAACATCAAGCTTTATCCTTTGAGGTCCTCCAGCCAGAAGAAAATGCTCGATCATATGATGTATCTAGAAATGTGACTTCAACCACAGAGGATTTGCCTATCATAGATAATTCGACATCAGAGCCTAACTTAGTACATGTTGAACTGAAAGAAGACATTGCCTACAATGCCTCCTTTAATCAATCACTTGACCAAGATACGACAGTGTCCCGTAAACTTTTGATTATTGTGACTCCTACAGAAACCCGTCCATTTCAAGCATACTATCTAAATCGTCTGGCCTATGCATTAGAGTTGGTGCCTTCTCCTTTATTGTGGATAGTTGTTGAGATGAACTCCCAATCTGTTGAAACTGCTGATATATTGAGAAGAACCGGAGTCATGTACAGACATCTTGTGTGCAGCAAGAACTCAACTGATGTGAAAGAGAAAAATGTGCATCTAAGGAATGTGGCACTCTCTCACATTGAAACACACCACCTTGATGGCATTGTCTATTTTGCTGATGAGTACAACATATACTCTGCTGATGTCTTCGAGCAGATGAGACAGATCAGGTACTCTATTTGTTAAATTTTCTTACTTTTGGGGTGTTAGCAACCTTGTTTTACTTTTGTGATATAAAGCAAAGTGGAAGCAAGTTTCAGTAGTCTGTATCCTTATAGAACATTACCTATGTTCAAATTAGTTGATATTTACATGTTCTCGTTTCCTTTATTTCTTGCTTAAGCTGTTATTATTTTTCTTATAGTCCATCTTTAAATCCTTATCAAGTAACTTTCGTACTCCTATGGCTTCTTGATCACTCTGATCTTGGGTGTCTCTCACTGTGTGTGTGTATATATATATATATATATATATATTTTGGTATAACCATTTGGTCTATGACTCCAAATGCCAATCATGCCTCTAGGTAGTGTGCTGAGTCTATGATTCCATGTATCAACGTTCTTGATAGAAAATTGTTGTATGCAGCCGGATCGGGACATGGATTGTGGCAAGACTAGCTGAAAATAATAGGAAAGTTATCTTGCAGGGTCCAATCTGTAACGGCTCTCAGGTTATAGGTTGGCACACTGAAGGTATGACAAAAAGAATTCAGAGATTCTATGCAGAAATATCGGGATTTGCATTCAATAGTACGATACTTTGGGATACAAAGAGGTGGCACCGACCAACACTAGAACCTATAAGGCAGTCTGATACAGCCAAAGCTAGTTCTCAAGTGAGTTCTGCCTCTGTCCTGGATCTCTGATGATTGGTACTTAAAATAAGATATTCTGTTAGTGGATAGTTCCACATTCACCACAGCTAATGTGATGGTGTACCTTCAAGAACATGACTAGTGAAACTGAACTTGAAGTTGGAGCACCAGTCCCAACCACCCTTGAGAGAAAGGGGAAGGGCTATTACAGCTATTATCTGTATTACCGTATGCAAAAATGTCAGTCCTAATGATTTTATTTACAGGTGAGCACATTTATCGAACAAATGGTGGAAGATGAAAGCCAAATGGAAGGCTTACCAATGAACTGTTCAAGAATCATGGTTTGGCAATTCAACACGGAGATATTGTACCCATATCCTCATGAATGGATGGTGAAGAATTACTTAAGAACCAGTACTTCAGTTGGATGACAATTTTGACATGCCGATAGATTCTTGAGCATTGATAAGGTGAGTGAATAATGCCTATGTTTTCTCGTGTAGTTCCTTACTTGTTCTTTTACTGTCATCTTTCTGTTTCCAGCTTTTATTAAAAATAATATGGACATTTTTCCAGTTGTTATTCATCTGTGTTGTATATTTTCTTTTATGAGGTGTGTGCTTGTCATGCTAGGATAAATAATTCCTTTCTCCCACTTCCCCCTCTCCCACGGTCTGTTCAAGTTGCTGCTATTTCTTTTTGATCATTAAAAGATTATGTTATTGAGAATCCAGCAACATGAAGATGCTGTCGAATATTTACAGAGGAAACATCCTGCTGAATTTGTAAAGAGTTCAAAAAGTCTATCATGGCCTCTGTATCATGTGCAATAGATATGTTACCCCCCATCTCCTCCAAAAAAAAAAAAAAGTAACGAGATAATCTGTATTTAATTCTAACTACAGATTCAGTTTGCTTTAAAAATTTCTTGTGTTCCTTTCCTTCTTATTGGTCCACCAAACAGCTGAACATATTGAGTTCCAAATTTTCAATTTTTCCTTTTCCATCCCTTTAATGTACCAATGTTGCAGGCTTGCAGCAGCTCCTTCGTTGTCCTAGGCATAGTCCAATTGTTTCCCACAATGTTCAGGATGAGGTCCCAGGTTTACTTGGTGAATGAGAAGTGGATGCAGAGGTGATATATGACCTCATTTTGTCTTCCATACAATGTGCATCTGCGTATATTGACACCTCGTTTTGAAGATTCTAATGAGTTACCTATTCTCTCAAACACACTATCCAAGTAAAGCATTCCACCTTCAAAAGTGCCTTATTTTTCCAAATACACTTCCAAGGTCAGTGGAGAATGGTGGAAGAAGTTCCCTTAGGTGTTCGTAGCAATCTTTAATTGAAAATTTACCTTTTGCTTCTCCAAATACCCTTCAGTTTGCTGTTTTTCCTGTGATTTTTATATATTAGTGACAACGTCATAATCATCGTCATTCTTACGTAGTTTATGAAATCACATCCTGAAAAATCTCTAAGTTAAGTCACAATTGCCACTTATCCTTGGTATTAGGAAAATTATAGGTATTAACTTTTTCTATACCAGTCTACTGATATTCAGTCCTCATTCTCCTTGATTCTGAGTGTTTCTTTTCTTTCCTGCCATATGATATGCATAGCAAGAAATTGATCTGCTTAGAACAGCACCTGCTTTTTTGCTACCTAAATTATCCTCTGAAGCCTTAGATCCAAAAGGCTGCTTCTTTGCTACCTAAATTTCCCTATGAACTTCACTCACCAAGAGTAGGGATGGTAATGAGCGAGGGTGTCAAGGCAGGGTGAAGCAAGACCTAGCCCACTTTGGAGGATGTGGGGCATGGATGGAGGAATGTCAAGTGGCACTGCATGGGGTGGGGGTGGGGGGGAGTAGATTGATTTTTCGGTGTCATGGGTGGTGCTCTGCTGCATACTCGTTTGGTTCTATTAATGCCCTTCCAATTTGGTTTACTGTATTCCTTTTTGTTGCACATATAAGTTTGTGGTCTTACATTTTTTATTTCTTTTTCTTTTGCCCGAGTTCTGAAATGACTGATTAATTTTTATGTAATTCACATGTTTTTTGTGTTTAAATATATTACACACAATATAATTAGTATTGTATCCATTTCATTTTCTATGGCGGCATTTGACTAGATGTAGAGTTTAAGGAAGAAAGAAATACTTTTCTCACATAAGCTAAATATAAATATAATATACCAAAAGTAGTAGCGATTTCTAATTGGCTTCTTTGTATTATTACAATTCATATAAGAGCATTCAATTAAGGGTGCATTTGTTATGGAGGAAAAAAAATGTTTTCTAATTTTCCATGTTTGGTTGGCCAATTTTTTTGGAAAGCAGTTCTTTGGGAAACAAGTTTCTTAAAAATTAGGAAAATGACTTCCCTAGTGGTAAGTGACATTCCAAGCACGTTGTCTCTTCCCCAATCGCCGTCACCCTTTGAACACCCCACACCCCCGACCCCCCACGCCTCACCCCATCCCACCACAAATGTTTTTCTAGATCACTTGTGAAATAGTCTTGAGACTATTTTTTGCTTACTTACCAAACACCAAATAATAAATAAGAAAATCACTTTTGTTTCAAAAATAACATTTTCCACGTAAACATTTTCCTTCCTACCAATCTCACCCTAAGAGTAATTCATAAATGTTAAAATTAAAGAAATGTATCGATATTATTATTTTATTTTATTGATAACTATCGTGTCCGGGCCAACTTGTGCGCACCTCGACTAATTCCATGGGATACCTCCCACCAACAGCAGGTACCATGTAACAGTGAATTGCCTCTCTTATCTCCTTTCCAGACTACAGAATCTGGTTTATCTGGCTGAGATGTATGCATTCTGATACGAGTAGTCTTTACTTCCCATTCAAAAAACAATTCCTCCTTAGCCCTAAATTTCATCCTTCACTACTCCAGAATGCAATAGTTGCCTCTTAGTTAAGAACTGTGCCAAAAACTTTAGGGAAGGCCTGCCTCATGATCTAACCACTGGTCAATCCATGTTCAGTTTTTTTTTTCCATCACCTACTACAATCTCTATTAATATTTGAAATTCTTCTGGTGTCTATTAATGTTCTTCCCTAGAGATACACCATATGGCCCAGCTGTTTGTTTATTGCACCATGGCCCATCCAACGTTGTGATGATAACTTTTTTACACAAAGCCGGTTCTTCCACATTGAATTCCCATAGCAATTTGAAGAGTAAGTTTTTGTTAGGCTTCCTCAGGTCTCTTATTCTCAGCCCTCCCCACTTTTAAGAGTGTGTAGCATTTCACCATCTCACTAAGTGTAATCTATGGCTTTTGGAATCACTTTCCTTGAAGTCCCTTCTTAATATTATATCCAGTTGCTTCCCTGCCTTTTGAGGTAATGAATGCCATGACATATAATAAGTTGCAGTCCCATCGAATGCACTATTTATGAGGGTGAGTCTATCCCCAAAATAAAGATATTGCGTTTCCCATGAAGCCATCCTTTTTTTCTCATTTGCGATCACATTCTGTCATACACCAGTCTGTCTGTGATTATGTTCAGCTCCAAGGAGAAGACCCTCAAGTACATAGGAGGAATATTTTCCACTTTTTTGTCCCAGTTTACTTTCTAATGACTCCATGTTACTCACGTTGTTAACACAGAAGAACTGCTCTGTGCTAAATTGACATGTAACTCAGAAACAGCTTCGAAATTTAACATAATTACTTTCAAGTACCTAAGTTGTGATCCTCTGCACCAGAGAATACCACGGTATCATCTGCATATAGCATGTGCGATACCTCAATCATGTTCTGTCTTTCAGTACCAATTAAAGGTCATTGATCAATTTCCTTTTTTACCTGACTACCAATCATTCTACCAAGAAAAGAGGAATGAAGGTAAAGGGTGCCCTTGCCTTAATCCTCTTTGTAGCCAGAAGTAGTCTATAGGAGCCCCATTGATTAGGATTGAGAACCTGACTCTAGTGCTATCAATCATTGGAACCAGTCATCTCCAAATTTCAGAGCTGTCATGAAATTTAGCAAAAAGGTCCAATAAACACTGTCATATGCTTTCTCTAGGTCTAGTTCGCAAATGACTCCTGTTTCCCTGTGCTTTTGCCTAGTAACCAAACATTCATTGGCACCTAGTGCTGCTTCCATAATCTGCCTCCCGTGCAAAATGCATTTTGATATTCAGTGATTCGTTTCCTGGTCACCACTTTCATCCTTCATTGAATATACTGCAATAGTTTTGTATATGCTGCTCAAAGGACTGATAGATCAAAAGTATTCTGACTAAATATCTCCATTCTTTTTAGGGAAGAGTGTTATGAAGGTAACATTTAGGTTATTCATAAATGTTCCTTCTATTTAGAAATATTCAAAGGTGTCCATTATGTCTCTTTTTTGAAGGACCAACATCTCTGGTAAAAAGCTATGGTATATTTGTCAGGTCCCAGGGACCTTATCCTCAGCATTAACTTTTATGACACTGAATACTTTCTCATCTGTAAAACGTTCCGGTAGCCGTTTGATACTATAGAGTTGTAGAGGAAACTAATGCTTCTCAATTTGCTCATGCTTCAGTTTGGAGAAAATGATAAATAATCGAATCAGCTGCATATATTTCATTTTTAATTGATGTAATCATTTATGTCAACTATTGTGAAGAGGTAACCATTTACGTCAACTGCAATGATTTAACCATTTATGTCAACTCTTATGAACAATTATTTAATTGATGAAACTAAATTGAGTCAGAGTACAGAAGAGGTTGAATGTAGGAAAGGGAAGGAGACTAGAGAGAGTCTTCCTAACAGCTAAAGGAAAGATGTGAGGAAAGAAAAAAGATAAATTGAACATAGGTTGGGAGATCCAGACAAATAGGTAAATTAATATAGAAAGGAAGTTGAATCAATTGGGTTAGTGTGTATAGGGAGGGGTTTCACCTGTGTGGCATGTGAGGTGAGGGTGTGACAAGGAGAGATCATCTCTTGAAAGGTAAAATCAAACTCTGCCATTCCCTATTGCCGTCCGTAGCAAAGTCTGTCTTATGCTGTGCACCATACTGTGTTATGTGATAATGAAGGAAGAATATAACGGCATTGAAAAGAACATGTAATTGAACATTGGAGCATGGCTAAATGTTTTTGGGGCTCACACTGAAATTGCTATTCTTAGAACAAAGATATTGTGTGGATTCTTTAAGGGAGCAAATGATGTCATACAAAAAGAAATGTGCTTGCTAAGATCTGAATTGAGCTCTGTGAAATTTGATTCAACGATCTTTGGTAACATCAGGCAGAAAGTATTGAGAGAGTGGCCTCATTTCTATTAGCGCTCAGGAGAAAATATAGCATCTAAATTCATTACTGCATTCTTGTTTGACTCCAAAATTCAGAGTAACAAGACTTCTCTTAATTCTGTAAGACATTTATAAGAAACTTGGACAACTAAATAGTAAGTACCAACTGAAAACAGAATGACTTTTTCATGATGTTGTTCTTCCCTTTGTCACAAGTTTTGGTATTAGCTGTTTGACAAATTATGCAATCTTTTCTAGTGCAGGGGAAATTTAGTGAACAGTTATGAGCGTCAGCTGCAAATATTTATCGGACCAACCACTTGAATGCTGTCAGTTTCGAGCTTGTAATGTTTAACTACATGCTGTAGTATCTAAAGAGACCAAGGAGGCCAGTTATCTCTGCCCTTTTCTCCCTCTCCCCACACTCCTCTTCCGTTTTCCTGTTCTGCTGCTATATCAGTAGATATTTATCTGTACAGTTGCTTAGCTAGTCACGGTATAGTCTTCTGGCTACCAAGTCAGAAGCAGCAAAATTGTGGCCATATGGAAAAAAATATTTACAACAGATAAGTGAGTTTCAAGTTCCTAGCCAATTCTTTCTAAAACCAAGTTGATGTCTGAAATGGAGTATTGTTCTTCAACTGGCAGCTTTACTTATTGACTTGTGCATATGTTAAGGTGCTACTCCATTATTTGATTTTTCTTGTTTGACACCATTTCATAGCTTTCAAGGTTTAGAATTAACTAAGATTATTCAAATTTTTTAGAACTTTTATATGATTTCTCCATCAACTAAATTTTGAACCATTTTGATATTTTCTTCTACAGTACAAACTAACATAATATAGAGATGACTTACATCTTAAACTCTATGTCCAATCAAATATTTTTACGTTAGACGGAATGGCCAGGGTCGATGGTTTTGCAAGTCTTCTTTTGTTTAGTATAAAACATTTTCCAAGTGGGCTGTCTTTCAGCCACTGCTGCATCCTAATTATTGAGGCAAAATTAACCAGCTGCAGCTCAGGACTAGATGTGGGGTTATATTCAACTTTACCTTGTTAAAAACTTGGAACACTAAAATGAATTTATAACGGCCTTTCACTTCGTTTCGTTCTTCTTCTTTATTGTTGCTTGAATGAAGGCACCACTAGAAAACACCAGGTAAGAAGAAATGAAAAGTAAACATATTGTTTCAATAATTTAAGTTAAAAAGTAATCTTTTTATAAGTTGTTTTGTTCAAAAATAATAATTAGATCTTTAAGTGAAGACATTAGACTGGAATTTGAGAAATAGTATCCTCCCCCCCTTCACACTCCTAATGGAAAATTTTAAAAGGAAATTTGCACCAATATACAGTCCAACATAACATACCTTAGTTGCTGCTAAATTCTTTTTATTGTTTTTGAATTTGCACATTTTCCTATATTGATTCTTCATTTTTTTTCCTTTTTCTGATTTTGTCCTTAGAAAATATCCTTAATAATTTCGTCTTGTTTGAAGGCTCATTTGGAAGTGTAGCTGGACAAAAAAAGAATTTGTAAGTAGTTGCTGTAAGAACTTTTATTCTATCACAATATTTCATGAAACATAAATAGGTTTCAAATATGATTTTATTTTCACGGATCAGTTCTGATATTTTTTTACTAGTGAAAATTTGTCGGGTAGTTAAAGAGGGACTATTGCTTGACATATTTGAAAATAGGTTAAAATCGATATTGATTGAAAAAAGTCATGTACGTTGAAAATAAGTACGAATTAAAAAATAGTTTTTTAGATGAACTCATAAATCTTGTAAGACTAATGAGACTCTTGATAGTTACCAACATGGGTTGTGGTGCACTAGTGGGAGTGTGTCACCCTTAACTAGAGGTCTCGGGTTCGAGCCCTGGGTATGGAGAAAATCTTGTTGGGAGCGCCATCCCCGGATGGGCCTTGCATTGCTCGATCCGGATTTAGTCGGAGCTTCAATGTAGGCTCCAGACACCGAATGGGAAACCAAAAAAAGAGACTCTTGATAGTTGATACCATTGTTTTTTTTTTTATTATTTAAAAAAGGATAGCGCATCAAAAAAGTTTGAAAGTATTGATTGAAAATTGTCTCTCAATATTTTTATCTAGCATAAAAGAGAGCTATAAATAATCAATTTGAACACATAATGTGCAGAAAATCTGCAATTCAAAAAGGCTAAAATATCTCATCAACCTAATAAAATATTAAACTCTCTAAACAATTTATTGTGCTAAAAAAATAACTTCAATAACTAAAAGTAATTTTCAACGGTACTTTTTTGCCCCCTGTTTTCCGTTAAAAGTAAAAGAATGATGTAAAACTAGGGGTGGCAAAATCAAACTCAACCCGTTCAATTTGTTTAAGTTTGGGCGGATCAATATATAACCAGAATTGACTCATGAAAAATTTCATGAAAAAATTTGTTATTTTTTTTTTAAAATTTGTTTTTTTCAATTTGATATGTTGTATATAGCCATAATAAAGGAAAAAATAATTTTATTAGGTACTAATTAAAATAGTTTTAAAAGAACAAATAAAACAATTAAGCTTAGTAAAAATTGAGTCGGGTTGGATCTTGACCCGTAATGTTACCCACTACCTAACCCATTTTGACCAAAACAAATTTGGATTGGGTTGAGTCTTGACCCAATTGTTGTCTTAACCCACTATGACCTGTCCAATTGCTATTTATATGATACTCATTGTTGAGCACATAAAATATAAATAAGTTTACGATGGAAGATTACACAAGCAGCGTCAATATGTCCGAGTGGTTAAGGAGACAGACTCGAAATCTGTTGGGCTTTGCCTGCGCAGGTTCGAATCCTGCTGTTGACGCTTTTTGTTTTGTTTTTTCAATTCTTATGTTTTATTCGTTTCCTTCTAATCTATCATCGTTTTATGAGTTTTATACCTAATTTTTTGAGTGCTCATAAAATTTCCTAAACTCTGATAAACTCATATTGAATTACCCACAAGAGGAATATGACATGTTACGCGAATATAATCACGCTTCAAAGCTCCTCCAAAGAGTTTCAAAGTGACATTATACCTGGAATTCTTTTGAGTGAATAAGTTAGAATCCTTCCCTATATTATCACTATTACGTGAGTTTCATACCTATAGTATAAAGGTGGTGAGATAGGTGAACTTATTTTAAAGATTTTTTTGATCTTCCACGAGTTTCTCAGCAAGTTAATTTCTTTCCAATATTTTTCCATATATTTAACGGTTGTTTTAAAATAATATAAAGGGAGTCAGGAGTTATTTTATTTTGTATTGAAAAATCTTCTAGGATTATCATGCCTATCTTGAATATCAATGCTAATGAGTAAAGACCAACAAGTATCAACTAACAACATATAGTAATTATAAAGTAATTGATCTTTTAGGATCAATTATAATAAAAACTCTTCGCTTCTCAAACATCTTAGTTTTATCATAATTTTTAGTGTTTGTGATTATCGTAGTGTTTCCTTTCCACTTATATCCACCCTTATTCCTTTTAAAAAATTAACCAATAATCCGCCGTTAAATAAAATTAACAATGAATTTTACAGTTTAACTACATAAATTGTCCGTCGTTAATTTTTGAGTAGTGATTTTTTTTTTCTTTTTAAAATTTTTGACTGCTAAATAATATCACTATCAGACAATATATGAATATATTTTAGTTGACATTCTATGTTAATCTTTCAAATGAAGAATATATGTCTATGCAAAGAAAAGAAGGGCTCTTCTTGATCCTTAAGAGGAACATATTCGAACCATTATGTAGATAAGAGAAGAACAAAATTATTTCATGAAAGGAACAATATAATTTAGCTATAGGGTCAAACATTTGAATTTTAGCAAGAATAATATTTTCATAACTATAAATACTGAACCAAGAAGCATATTATATGTCCATAAAATAATTAAGCATAGAAAAAAATATGGCCAAGTAAATTAGGAGGAGAGGCCTTACATGAATTAGAAGAGTCTATTTGTTTAGTAGCCAAGGATGACTTGCCTTTCATCAATGCCTTGTAAAAAGGAAATTAATTAAAATCCTTTTTATGGTATTGCGAAAATGAGTGGCAAGTATCCTTGGCGACTTGACAAGCTCTTCTTTGTCATGTTAGTCCATCTTCTTCCTCTTCCGCTACGAGAAAATATGAAATTAGCTATGGAATTTATCGGTAATCTCTAGCTGATTCGTCGGTAAAAAGCCTCTAGCCAGTTGAATGCTTTTTGTAATTCGTCACTAATTCGTAGCTAAATGAGATTAGCATGAAATTTTTATTGTTTAGCTACTAAAGTTTATCCGACTCTAATAATTCCATGTTTTCTAGTGGTGTGATCTCCCATGTATATATGTTGCTCAACATGATATATATTGTCAAGTGTTATCTATATTTTAGTAAATGATATAGGTTGTTAATCTCTCCTTAAATATATATACTTATGATTTTGGACTATTTTTACCTCATAAGCTAAAATCTGTCGTATTTAAATTAAGTCAAAGGTTCATTTTTTAAACATGATATTAGAGAAACTCATTTCTATTATAGGTGTTGCATGCTCTAGATATATAGTTGGAGTACTACATAATAATGGGAGTGTAAAGTTTTCCACATTGATTGTATCATGATTTTGGACAATTTTCACCTTAGGAACAAATTTTAAATTTCTATCTCTCCTTCCATATTCTCATGTTAATTAGAGGGTGTTTATAAGTTGGTCGACCTAATTAATAGTCACTTTTTTTCTCTTTATATTTACGTGTTTCGTAACAATAAAAATATTTATAAGCGCTAAAAGTCACTAGTTGATCAGCCATACTTACAACTTTAACACATATATTTGAATTTATATTTTTTGTAAATAGCTTTAAGGATATTTTATATTTACTTATAAAATCAGTTTCTAACACTTGATATTTTTCAATTATTTTTAAAAAGCTATCAAAAAATGACTGCAATTAAGATGCACATGACTAAAGTGCTACCAATTTTGTGCATGCACTGTGGCCTGTGCGCTTGAAGTCCGCACAAAAATAGGTGCACTTCAATCATATGTTATTACTATTTTTCAGCTTCAAATTAAATTTTGTGACTTCAGTGTCATGTGTTTGAAGTTGTGTCGCAGTCGATAAATTTGTAAAAATATTGAATTTAGGATACAACTTCAACAAATAATCCCAAAATTGGAAGGTCACTAAAACTTTCTTCACCCGTAAACAATTTGAACTAATTGTGTCTATATCATAATAAAATAAAGACTAGCCTTATTACAAACATATTGACTGCATTTATTTCATTGGTTTGAATTTTCTTTTGTGTGATATGGAGATTACATGAGTTTAGTTTTAAGTTTGGGCACAAGGAGGGAACATTGGCCTCCATAGGTTTCTTTCATGTACCCATGCATGTTTTGTTTGTTTTGTAATTATTTTTCTTGGATGTCTTGATTTTGTGTCTCTTCCTTTTGTTTTGTAATTATTTTTTATGCTATATATATAATTAGATAAGGATCTCTATGCCAAATTCCCTATTATCGCGTATACGGGTGGATCTATGTTGAGTTTTCCAGGTGTTCGAGCATCCATT